AAAACTTTTTCACTGCGAGAGTGACAGGACATGGAGGCATGCTGCCCAGAGAGGTTGTGGAGTCTCCTTCTCTGGAGATGTTCAAAACCTTCCTGGATGCGTTCCTGTGTGACCTACTGTAGATGAAGGATCACTCTGGCAGGGCTTTGGACTAGATGATCTTTTGAGATCCCTTCCAATCCCTAACATTCTGTGATTGTGTCATTCTTCATTTGATATCTAGCTTTGCATGGCAGGTAGGTGTCTGACTGGGACCTATAGTAGAGTCTCAACACAGAAGGTCACATTCCCATTTGCTGTAAATCAGCTAAATGTCACTGATGTCAGGAATATAGCTTTTTGCCAATACAGAACCTGGAAGAGGTTTCAGAGACTGAATTGAATTAGGCATTTAGTCTGTGAGGACTAAAAGGAAAATCTTTCATAACAAAACCTGAGTTCCAAATATTAAGGTGGCTATAAAATGTTGAAATGTATTTTTACAAACAATGCCAAAAGTTTTTGTGATCTTGTCCTTCTTCTTTCAGAAATTTTTGAGCTGGAGGTAAATGAAAATGTGCAGCTGACTGTAAATGACAGGCAAATGCCTAAGGTAGAATACATGGAAATCAAGATAGATGATTACAGTAAGTAGTACCTTTTCTCTCTCTTATTTTTCCTTTTCACTGCTATTGCTGTGCAATGATACAGTTGACTAGACTGGCAGGAGGAAAAATTGCTTTGATTCTCAATAAACTCAAACAGTTTGCAAAGCACTTTCTTAGGATGTGCTACATAAGAAGGTTACTACAGAGACAGGATTTGATGAGAATGCAGCTGAAGAAAGGCAAAATGATAGGGTTGGGTTTTTTTTTCCTTTTAAAATTTTCTTTGTAGAGAAAAAAACACACCAGGAAATGACACAGTGTGGTGCCCTCATTGTTTGGAGCATTTGGCATAACTGGACTGGTGTATTATTTGAGATGGGTTAGAAGTGGGATACTCTATGTGCTTGCTGGCTATAGCTGTGGCTGCCTTTCAATATACAATATTAAACTGCAGTGAATGAAGATGACTTGTCAATGACTGCCCATTGGATTCCTTCAGGGTTCTTTGAGAAAGCCATATCACTTGATAGATTTGGAAAAAAACCAGCTTTATGGGAAAATCCAAAAATATATTTCACCTGGAGTAAAGAAGGCAGAAACTTGGAGTGGTTTATATCCACAGCTGGTGCATTATGTGTACCACTTGTGTAATCATTCCCCACAAATCCATATGCCAAACAGGACAGAGAGAGAGAAAAGCCTAGAGGCAAACAGACAAAATGGAAGCATTTTCTGCCTGTCTCTGTAGTTGTACCTGAAACAACCTAAAAAGTGTCTCCTCTGACTGTAATCAGATATCTTACGTGTATGTGGAAAATCCATATACTGTGAGTTGTGCAATGACTCCCAAAATTCCCAGTTTATGTGTATGGTGGCAACTCTAAAAAAAAACCCCAAAGAACTCGGGTTCAAAGCATGAACCATAATATTTCCCATGCTGGAAAGGAGCTACCTCTCAAATTGGATGCAGTGAAATGAAAGCAGTGAGGTGTGATGGATGGCTGGTTACTAATTTCGTACATTACCAGGTGTTATAAAATGGGAAGCAAAGACTAAGACACAGTTGCCGTTTGAAAAGGATCATAATGGCCCTAAAATGTTCTGCTTGATACATGGGCATTAGGAACATAAACCAGTGCATAAAATAACAAGAACAGATGTGCATTTCCAGACCTTATGGGCAGGAAAAGATGGGGAAAGATCCTGTCATAAAGATCACATCTATCCCTACCGTGAGCCAATTCATAATAGCATGGGCAGCTTATTAGGAATTACTTAGCTTAATAATAAATTTCTTAACTGCAGGTATCATTGAAATGTGATTCTTCTCATTTAAACAAAAATATAGGTGTTTGTGTGAAATAAATGCAAGCTGGTCATAACAGTGTGACTGTTCTGTGCACTGCCTGTAGTTTCAAGGCTTTGGGCTGAACAGCCTTGGGGACACTGCACGTGGTGCTTAGTTATATTTAAAGTCAAGCGATGGCCTTTTTGGCTGTCCCTGGGCCATTGATCCAATTTGCAGCTATTAGCATTCAGATGGAATAACTAATTAGGCTGAGTGTCAGACAATGATTGCAAAGGAAACCACTTAAACCATGCGGTTAATCTCAGTATTAATCTACTGAAAATGCGCCTAATATGGATTTAATTGCTGGGCCTTTGCTAATCTGGATTGTAGTTAACATTTTAAAAATAAATGTGAAAAGCATTTGTATGGCAGTGGTTTTGGCTATCAATACCAGTCCGTAGGAAGCAGTTAAATGAAACTTTGGGGAGCAAGTCTCTCTCTCACATTGATTCAGTCCCAGTATAACAACATGGGTTTCGGCACAGTTGCCTCCTATTTTACAGAAAAATTAAGCTTTCTAAAAGATAGGATTAAAATACATCTTTCTCTATCTGTCTTCACATCTTTGTAGCAAAATAATCCTATTCTCTCCCCCAGCCACCATACTTAATTGGGTTTAAAAGTATCATTTTCATCACCGATTTTCCCCCTCCTCTGCTTCCCTGAAATATTGATTTCTGGCTGTGTCACTCATGCAACTGCCAAAAAAGAAAATTATAGCTATTGCCAGATGTTAATTGAATGCTGTAAAAGTGATGCATGACTGAACAGCTCGCGCTGTACTCCCAATTTATGCTTCTTGTCACCTCGGCTATCATAATATGGGTTTTTTCTTTGACAACATCTGTGTTCCTAAGGTGTTATTTAACAATGCATCTGATGAAATGCCATTTTATTCCTGCTCATAAGTGGCCAAAACACCAGAAAAATCTATTAGAATTATGTCAGTATTCCCACACTGAAGGCATGCTGTTATTTGGGTTTTTTTGTCTAGAATTGCCAATGCAGATCTTAAAGCCAGCAACATTTTCGGACACCGCGCACTACCCCTTGCTTTTGGTTGTGTAAGTTCTTGCTTGTCCTTTCTTTCTATTCACATTATTAGGGAAGCATGGAAATCTGAGCTATGATCAGAGCCTTTTAAGATATATTTTGTACAAAAAATGCCAGACTGCTTTAGCACCTAAGTCCAGCATGTTGGTCCCTGCCTCACCTTGGAGGTGGGAAAGGCTAGACATAGCTCCCTTGTCTCCCATGTTTGAGCCAAGGGTTTCAACTCCCAGGAGGGTGCCCTGGTGAAATCCTGCAGAGTAAATTGTAGGATTTTGTAAAGTTGTTCCATGTACACTTGCAGTTCAGTACTTTTAGGATCAGGAACAGGAAGGGGAGGAATAAAATTTGGATGCTGACTTTCTGTCCTGGTGCTTAGAGTACTCACCCTGCACTTAACAGGTAGTTTTAGAGTGGGATGCAGTCAGCCTTACTGCAGCTTTAATTTTAGATGCTCTCATGCAACAGTCTTTCCCATGTAAATGTAAATGCCAGTGTTCCCTGAAGTGACAGTAAAGGGAGAGCTAGAAACCTTTGAAGATCTCCACGATGTTAGCATTTATATTAGGTAGGTAGGATTTCCTCCTGGCAGACATAGCAGATGGGTATTCCTTTATGCAACATTTAGTAATAATAATATACACTACTGAGTTGTTTCTGGCAATTTGGAAAGAAACTAGAAGAGGGAAGTCACTGACCTTGGAAGAACCTGCTTGGCCCTGGCTGTGTCCCACTGCATCACTTGGGAGCACCCCATGAGAGAGAAGCTTCATGTAGGAGTGATGAATGCCTGATGAATGCCTGAACACCACCCTGCACATCCCTCCATGAAGGACAAAACCACTGCAATAAGCATGTCGTTACATCACAAAATTACTGCAGAGAAAATGTACTTCATTATACAAGTGCTTGAGGAAGATTGGTACTCATCAAGCTAACAGCACTTGATTAGGCTGCCTCTGAAGCTGGATGTGCCTGGGTCTCGCCTCAATAAATGCAAATGCCTGAAGTCACACGCACATTAAAATCCCACAGTGAGTTGCCTGGTGTCTCCAAGAACCCCAAAAAGGACAAGTAGATGGAAGTGCCAATGGCTCTACAGTAATTCCAGTCCTTAAATATTACTTCTCGTCATCATCTTAATTTTTCTGAGCTGTCTGGCTGAAGAGGGGTCAATATTTCTGAAGACAGTTCCCCTGTGCGGGATTAAACCCTAAGCAGAAGAATGAAGAGGGAGTCTTGCCCACCTCTTCCCCTTCCCCATCAATTTGGGGCTAAACTGGGCATTTTAAAGCTGTTAGTTTTATCACTTTAAATTGCTCTTGTGTTAAGCAGTGGTGACAGAAGTGATTGACAACTCCATCTACAGCCGCTCTGGAGAAGCCCATGGAGAGAGAAGGTCTAAGAATGGGGGCAGTAAATGAAACCCAAATGCTTGGCAGTAAAGGAAGGGGTATTGATGTCTGCAAGCTTCATCCAACATATTTTGGCAGTGACAGTGCTCCCCAAAGCCAGGCTCCTCACAGAAACCCCTCCACCAGAAAAATTCCTGTGGAAAATAGCTATAGATTAGAGCAGGCATGGATGGGAGAATATCAACTGACCTCTGCATCGCTGCCCTGGTTTACTCACAGGAGGAATCCTGTCCAGTTAGTGATATGCTTGCTAGGTTTGTTCAGAGCTCAGTTTAGTGCAGTGATAGTTGCTGTGCAAAGAGGTAGGCAGAAACCAGCCTGCAGCTTCCACCTCAGCCTTAAAACCCATCCTACACAACCAGTCTTCTACACATCGTCATTGCAGAGACTGGTCTCCCCTTCTTGAAACCTGCTCTGCCTTACGATGCTTGTGGGAGCTGCCAATCCTCATTGCCACGGCAAGCTCATGGCCCCGGGGAGGGTGTTTGGCCCATCCTTGGTGCCGTTGTCTTTGCTTGACGCCTGTTTCTGTTTCAGAGATGGAACACCTGGCAGCCAGATCGTAACAGAGAGATTTGAGGTGACGTGGGAAAGCGTCATGGTCAGCTCTCACAACGCCATCGTGCTGAAGTTCGACGGCCGTGGGAGTGGCTTCCAAGGCACTAAGCTGTTGCATGAGGTTAAGAGGAGGCTGGGCTTTTTGGAAGAGAAGGATCAGTTGGAAGCTGTCCGGTGAATGACACTGTTATTGAAAAAAAATAGTTCATTAGTGATAATTAACCCAAGACTGTCATTAGTCCTGGTTGCTTTAATGGTGCATAGGGTAGAGCAATGAGATGGGAGGGAAGGACAATATAGTCATACAGCTGTGACCAAGTGATGGCATGTGAGAGAGAGCTCATGCCAGCCAGTGCAGAGGGAGAAAAATAAGCCTTAAACAGAGCTAAATTAGAGCACACTTATCTGTATCACATGTTCAAAGCTTATTTATTTTTAGTTCTCTACAGTCATACAGCTACAAAAAAATAAGCTTGAATATCAGCTCCTACATTTATTTTTTACTGGCCTGGTAGTTGGAAAAAATCCATCTTTAAACCCTTAAACTTTTTAAAACAGAAAAAACAGTGCAAAATCCTAATGTCAAGTGCTGTCATATTGTTATATTTATTCTGCATATAATCATGCTAATAGAATAGAATAGAATAGAATAGAATAGAATAGAATAGAATAGAATAGAATAGAATAGATAATCATTCTCAGAATAGTGCAATAGCATCAGCTTTATTATGACTTTCAGAGGTACTTCAGGTTATTTGCTGCTGTTGCTTGGTCAAATCCAACAGAACAAGTTGAAAGATTAAATTGAGCAGAGACTCGTGTGACAGCAGTGTGTAGTAGCGTGAATTTAGATTGTCTACATCTTTTTTCTGCAGCCATCCCAAATTCAAGCTGATAGAAATCACACTATGTTTGCTATACCTATAGGGAAAAATATTTTTAACCCATTGTTTCTCCTCTCTCATGTTCTAGGACGATGCTGAAGGAGCATTACATTGATAAAATGCGAGTCGGTGTGTTTGGGAAGGTAACGTTTTCCCGTTGTTCCTTTGTGCTGTTCTATTTGGCTGATGTGGCTAAGCAGCTGAGCTAAATCCTGATTTATTGAATATGTCAGTGGTGACTTCTTTATTATTATTTATTTTTGAGATAGGCTGCTTCTTGCTCAGAGATGTTAAAGATGAAAGCTATCATTTTGTCAATGTATTTGACAATTTTTTTTTAAATTAACTTCCAAGTAAAGAAAGTGACTATTTGTCAGGAAAACGCTGTCAGATAATGAATTATTTTTTGCCCTTGCAAACTTTCATTTCATTTTCTTCTTGTCCTTTAAGGCCTATGGGAATGTGGGTAGATCTAGCTCACGTTGTACAAATGTAAAACAACAACAATATTGATTTCTGAGGCTGATTCACACCATGGAGTGTGTCTGCCTGGGAAAGAACAATTGCAAAGTACACAGGGTTTGTAATGAGAAAGGGATTCCAAGTAGAAATTGTTTATTTTGGGAGATAGAAGTTTGGAGTAGTTGGAGAGAGCTGCACAGACAGCAGCATCACTGCAGGGAATTGTTAACAGACTGATGGCAGACACTGAAATTGTGATGTCCTTTTTAAGTAACAAAAGACTGAGGTAATATTTCAGAGAAGAAACATACCTGATCGACCTACAGCTGTAACGTGGGATGAAAAGAGCCAAGCTCTTGGGCAAACAACCCTCCTGCCTTCAAGAGAGTGCAACAACTGCAGAGCTCATCGTCAGCTGCATCTGCCAAAGGCAGGGACGTGTCCCTTGTTTCATGATTTTTCAGGGCAAGACATTAAAGGCTCCATAATGGCTAAGGGGTTGCTGCAAGTTCTCAGCTGCCCTGTACCCAAAAGCAGCAGCACCTCATGGCAGGACCACTAATGCTCCTGCCCTGTTTATGTTCCAGGATTATGGCGGCTACCTGAGCACTTACATGCTTCCAGCTGGTGAAGAGAACCAGGTGTTCGCCTGTGGAGCTGCCCTTTCCCCGCTGACAGACTTCAAACTATATGGTAAACCCCATCCCAGAGCCCACAGACCCTCTTGATGACTACAATTATGTTTCTGCCCTATCCTTTCCCAGTTATCTTCTCGTTCGTCCCCAAGACCCTGCCTGTTTTGTATCATGTGTTTTCTTAGGACTAGCCATAAAACATTTTTTCCCAATCAAGAGCAATTTTGCTGATGGGGCCACCCATGGTGGTCCAAGTAATCAAATAACTTTTTTAAGTCACTCCTTTTAAAGGAAGGAGATATGTCTCTAAACCCCTCCACCCTCTGACACCAACCTGCACCGCTGCCTTGAATGTGCTTCTTTCTTGCTTGAACTATCTATCTGTGGGAGCTGTAGTCCAGCCCACCAGCCCCATCCTCTCTCTGGCAGCACATGGTGGTCCTTTCTCTCAGGGACACCAAATCCCTTTGCATTTAGTGCCAGTGAAAATCAGGGGACTGCCATAAAAGTCAGTGGTGTTAAGCCAGTCTTCAGTTCCCATGCAATTATCCTTGAGATCAACGCAAGGTTACAGTCAACTGTTGATGGAGATGGTCTCATGTGAAAGAAAAAAGTGACACAACATGCTAGTCCTTTTCTCTTGTATCTCAGTCACATTAAGGAAATTTTTAAAAAGACTCTTCTGTGACTGATTTAGAAACCAGAAGTGCATGGTGATAATGAAAGACTGTAGCATCATACATAGTCTTAGTGCATTTTCAAAAACCTTTAGACATGTCTTGTGTAATTAAGGCAATGTTAGAAAATAAAGTCTTTTTTAGCATTTGCAAATTTGATTCAGAAGCACCAGTGTACTCAACTTATGACTGAAAGAGATGTTTTCTTTTTCTCTTTTCAAGCTTCAGCATTTTCTGAAAGATATTTGGGCTTGCATGGGATTGATAACAGAGCATATGAGGTAACTGCATGGACACTGCATTTCCCTGATAAGATGTGAATGGTGTTTTAACTCTTCCTCCATGTGTTGTCTTTTGAGAAAGGAGCAAGGTTACGCAAGATGGACTCACTAGTAAAACTTTGAAGATGTCCTTCAGCCTGCTTACTGCTTTTGTTGTCTTAATAGTAATATTGGATGTGGTTTTTATTGATTAGCCTTCATGTCTGCCTCTGTAAATTGAGTAAATACAATTATTGCAGATTTACAGATTGAAAGAGCTGAGGCTGAGTGACTTAGATGTGCCCAAGTGGACACAATGTCATGACCTCCTTTAAAGTTTATCCCAATGGTCTTGACACTTTGATTCTCTCTGAGATATAATTTTTGACCCAAAGTCAAGTGAAGTGGAGCTTTTCTTGGCTTTTTCAAAGTAAACACAGATGTGATACTTCACATCAGCAGAACTGTGTGCCAGAATTGAGCAGGACATGGAAAAGGAGACATGGATATTGAGGGTATTGTTTAATCAATCAGTTGTCTCATGTCTTCTTTCCTTCAATTACTTGGAGGAAAAACCTAATAAAGACTAGTCACACAAACAAAATTTGTTATACAGAAAACCTTGTTAAGCCCGCTAAGCCTTGTTTTCAGGTAGAAGACATGAAAGCAGCAAAGTTTTGAAACTGTTTTCTTACAGAGAAGGCAGGTAGCACCCTGTGCCCCCACAGCAGAAGCTTTTCCTGGCTATCTAAACACCAAGTTCATTATCTCTCAGATTTTGCACTCATGATCTCTAGATCATAGAATCATAGAATCATAGAATGTCTTGGGTTGGAAGGGAGCTTCAAAGGTCATCTAGTCCAACCCCCCTGAAGTAAGCAGGGACATCTTTAGTAGAGCAGGTTGCTCAGAGCCCCATCATGCCTGACCTTGAATATTTCCAGGGACAGGGCCTCCACTACCTCTCTGGGCAACCTGTTCCAATGATCCACCACCCTCATATTGAAAAACATTTACCTAATATCCAACCTAAATCTCCCCTTTTCTAGTTTAAAACCATTACCCCTCATCCTATTGCTGCCTGCCCTTGTGAACAGTTCTTCCCCAGCTTTCTTACAGTCACTTTTCAGGTACTGGAAGGCCGCTATAAGATCTCCCCAGAGCCTTCTCTTCTCCAGGCTGAACAACCCCAACTCTCTCAGCCTGTCATCTTAGGAGAGGTGCTCCAGCCCTCGGATCATTTTTGTGGCCCTCCTCAGGACACGTTCCAACAGGTACATGTCCTTTTTGTGTTGAGGGCTCCAAAACAGGACGCAGTATTCCAGGTGAGGTCTCACCAGAGCAGAGTAGAGGGGCAGAATCACCTCTCTCCATCTGCTGGCCACCCTTCTTGTGATGTAGCCCAGGATGCAGTTGGCCTTCTGAGCTGCAGATGCACATTGGTGGCTCATGTCCAGCTTTTCATCCACTACTACCCCCAAGACCTTTTCCTCAGAGCTGCTTTCCAGCATATCATCTCCTAGCCTGTATCGATAATGAGGATTGTCCCATCCCAGGTGCAGGACCCTACACTTGGCCATGTTGAACCTTATGACGTTCACCTGGGCCCACTTGTCCAGCATGTCCAGTTCATTGCAAACTCTTACAGAATTACAGAATGGTTGGGGTGGGAAGGGACCTCGAAAGATCATCTAGTCCAACCCCCCTGCCAAAGCAGGTACATCTAGAGCAAGGTGCACAGCACTGCATCCAGGTGGGTTTTGAACATCTCCAGAGAAGGAGACTCCACAACCTCTCTGGGCAGCCTGTTCCAGTGCTCTGTCACCCTCACAGTAAATAAGTTTTTTGTCATGTTTAGTTCTTTTAGAAATGTGAAGGCAGGTCAGTAGAGGTGAAAACAACTGAAAATATTTCAGAAATGAGAGCTTTGTGTTGCCATGCGCTCTTTGTGCATTGAGAAGCTGGCCTCAGCAAATAGTGGAACTTTTAGTTGACTTGGGATTAGCTGCTAGGAACATCACCTGAGCTCTCTTCAGAGCACGGTACTGTTCTGGATGTGAACCCTAACAGATACACATCTCCTACACACCATAGTTGAACCATGAATTGCTTAGAGATAAGAACTACTCCTAACCTGTGGGCCAGACATGAACTTTAAGATCATATAATTCAAGACAATGTAGACTCTGAAAAAGCTGTGTTGCCATGTGGTAGGTTACAACTGAGGGAGCAGAAAGGAAGGAGCCATATAAGGGGAGAACAGAGGGCAAGATATGTGCATACACCGTCACAAGACTTAAGCGTTACAGCCAGCAATCTGAGGATGAGAGAACTCATGAATTAAGTCCAGCAATAGAGGGAAGGTAAGAGGGCACCCTTGCAAAATTTGCAAACCCTTTCTAAGTCCATATAGAGTGTGGAGCTGCAAGGAAGCCAGAACGGACCTTCATCCACCAAAATTTCCAAAAACTTGCCTCTCTCACCAAGGAAATACGCAGGGCCACTTCTAATGTTCGGGGTTGCTTTACCTTTTAAATGAGGAGAGGTACACATAATCTGTAATGTAAAACGACAGTGGCCAGATCTTAGTAGTACATTTGACCTCCATAGTCAAGCATGGAAGGTCCTGTTGCTGTTGGAGATGCATCAGTCTGTCTTCTGTGGAAACCATGTAGGACAATAGGAAGAAGAAAACAGGTATAAGATAGGACTGATACAAGAATGTCTTAACTGAAAAAATGCATTAACTCATGTCAGTGAAGTGTTTAAACAGTGAAGGAAACATGAATTTGAGACAAGTATTCTTCCCCGCCCCCTATAAAATGGTAACATCTGTGATTTGATACGTACATTCCTTTTGCCACTCCAAGAATTTTGGAGTCTTTTGGGGTCTCCTTGAGACTTGTATTCTTCTGAACAATGCAGCAAAAAGCAGAGAAGTCCTTCATTTCTCTTAGCCAGTACCATTTGCAGTCACTCACAATTGTATTTCCCCTGTGCACCTGAAAGACAGTTGAGGGCAAAGGCATTCTCAGCAGTGGACACTTGAATTTAGTATTAGATCCTCCCCCTGGCTGTCAAAGCTCATTGAGGTTGGCTTTCAAACCATACCAAAGTCACTTCAGCTCTCTGAAGAGTTCTTAGGGATAAACACCCGGGTACACTTTTCATCGGTGTTTTGTATTCACTGGAAATTCACTTCGACATTTTCCATGTGTTCTGCAGTTCAGGCTTTTGGTGACCATTATCAGAACAAACGAGGGGTTCTGACGTCCTACTGCTGCTGATACTGAGCTTGGAAGGACAGGGTGGGGGTGTATTTTACTTCCAGACTGATTCAAGTAGCCAAGAAAATCTACTGTGCTAGTGTCTGCTTGTTATCCTTGTGATTAAGTATCAAATGGAATTAATTGCTTCTATTTTCTCCACATAAATTGCTAATTTCTAGCAAGATTTTTAATCTTATTGCAACCTTTACCTTCACAGAGCACCAAATTAGCACACAGAGTCTCATTACTGAAGGAACAGACGTTTTTGATCATTCATGCTACTGCTGATGGTAAGTTAGCCCATCATTTGAGTTCATTATATGTTTGGGACGGCTTTGATTTTTCTTAATTAAATTTGCCTCCTTAATGATTGTAATCTGTTTTTACAGAAAAAATCCATTTTCAGCATACTGCGGACCTTATCACACACCTAATTAGGGAAAAGGCTAATTACAGCTTGCAGGTACAGTATGTGTTTCTTTTTTTCATATTTGCACAGTTATTTCCCAGTGTGAGCGCAAACTGCTGTTATGAAGCAAGCTTTGAAAAGTCACTTGCAAACTCAGCCTGGCAGTAGAAACATCATCAGCGTGTAATGTGTTCTTTATTTGATACCACTATTTTGGTTTGGACAGTTGTTGAGCAGTTTTACAGAAAAATAGGGTTTGAGAGACATATCTCTAAGGAATTGATGCCTATTTACTTTCTTTGGGAATATCAGGGTAAATTCAAGATGAATTACAGGGAAACGGGGATCTAAATTAAATTAAGCAGAAAAGTTATGGAGAGAAATGTCTCATAAATCTGACATCCCACTGCCAACAACATGCTCTGGTCTGGAAGGTCCCTCTCTCTTCTGAATTACATCTCTGATTTGCTGAACAGCCCATGTCCAAGACATTAAAGCTTCCAAAATGAACCCATCCACCAGCCATGGGGATGGTCCCTGACCATCTCAAGCCATGGCCAATAGAGTGCAATTAGCCCAGGCTCAAACTATGTCAGGGCCCATGCTACAGCTCACAGTATAGATGGTTGTGTTGCATTGCCCAAGTCCTACTAATACTTGATTTACTGAATACCAGCTCCCTCTGGCTGCGTTTCTGTGGAGCTTCATGTGATGGGTATGCTCACTTCATCATGCTCCAAAGATGGATAGGCTGGAGCACAGACACAAGAGCTGAGCAATGAGCCTGGCACAGACTGGGTCATCGCTACAGTGACTGAGGTGTTCCTGCATATTTCCCAATGCAGAAGCATTAGTACTTTAGACTTTGAAGCCATCAATGGCCTAGAGGCACCTCAAAGATTAGGTGAGGACTGACTCATTTTTCCCCCTTCAATATCCTGTTTGAGACAACTCATTGTGATCTTGCATTCCTTCAACACATGCAAAAGTTATCTGTTTCATTAAAATGGAAAATTGTGTTTAAACTATTTCATTTCTAGCTTCTCACTTTTTTTTCTATTTAATTACTTTTCCAGCAAGCTTTATTTCAATTTTTTACTTAATGACATTTTTTCTTTAAAGCCTTCATTTTAGTCAGTAAAACCTAACATCATTTCTCTCCACAGACTTGCACTGGGCTTTTTTTAGTTTTCACAAGCACTGTTATTTGTAAGTAAGTGCGGTCTGGTTCTGCTTAGCCTGAAATTGTTCAGAATGGAATTAAATGGAAAATCCTCCCCCAAAAAAGTTCCTTTTGAAGGAAGATGCAAGTCTGTGCTCAGAGTGCTATGGTGCCTGAATTACCCTGGACCTCATGTGCATCTACAGGAAGACACATGGTGCTGAGGAGAAGCAGTGGGTTTGCAGGCCAGCTCAAGCTGCAGATATGGGTGGTCAGTCCAGAGACTTTTAGCTCCTAACTGTGTGTATTTCCCCATTTCTTTGCAGATTTACCCCGATGAAAGCCATTACTTTAACAATGCAGCATTGGAACAGCATTTGTACAACTCCATTGTCAACTTCTTTGTGGCGTGTTTCCAAGTTCAGGACAAACTCCCGATAGCCCCACTGAAAGAGGAGGAGGACGACGATTAACCCTACTTGTCCGTGCTAAGCACAAGGCAGATCTCTCTAACAATATGCAACTGGATCATTTTCCTGAAGAAAGAGATGTTACGTTGTTAGCATGTATTTAAAGAACACTGAAAGCAGCTCATCTGCTTTACTTGACAGCAACTCCTTCCTAAATGGAAGAACATTAAGCATGGTGAACTCAGCAGAAACTGCTGTCTCAAATTAATCCATCACAACCAACATCTATTTTTTCTTTCTTCTTTTTTTACTTTTTTTTTTTAATTTATTTTTGTTTGCCACAATGTGACTTCTAGTGTCAAAATGGCAAGATACTGGACTTAAAGGAACACCCCAAGAAACCTCTTTGAGGACTTGAAGATTTAATGTCTCTTTGGATTGAAGCAATCAAGCAGTAGCAGTGAAATCCATCATCCATGTTAAGGTTCCTATAGTTAGCATCACACTGTGTCAAAAAAAAAAAAATCTAACATAATACATGGAAAGGATTATAGCACAATTATTTTGATGGATACATACTTACCTGCTTTTTCTCATGTTCAGAAGGTTTCTCATTGCTACAGGACACACAAAATTCAATTGTACAAAATACTGCTATAGTTACACTGATCTTTACCTTCCTGTAATTATTTCTTAATTTTATATAGCTTTTACTTCTGTTTTCACTGGGTCTCGTGCTTACCTTATGAGCTTCTCAGCTTCTTCTGGATGGGGAAAAAACATACACTGAATTAATTAACTCATTTTAGACCTTAGGGGTCTAAATAGGAAATGGGGGTCAAGGTACCCAGACATTAAAAAAATCTATTAGACTAAAGCAAAGGAAATCTCATTCTCATGTTCCTGGCACAACATTTGCCTGCAAGATTGAGTATTTTCTTTGTCAGCCTTGAAAAATGTGCACATAAATAAGCTAAACTGATATATTTTTACTGTACTATAGAAAAATATGCGACAGTCACAATTATTTTTTTTTTCCTTCTTTTAGTGTTGGAACAATGGGTTGACAATCTGTTGGAAAACTGCTAGATGAGGCTATGGTAGCAGGAATTTGTACCAGATACTTCACAAATCATGTCATAAAGCCATTTAAACAGAACCAATGTGCAGAGATTTATTGCACATGCTGGCTGTGGCTTAGTTTTATTCCAGGTCAATGATTAGCACATTCCAAACACTTTTAATTATTTCTTCTGCTCACACTAGCATAAAAGAGAGAAAATTGGAGCATTTTTGCTTTAAAATATCTAACACTTCATTATAGCAGTGCAAAGCAAAAACTTTAAAATTTCTTGTGTCGAAATTCAACTCTCAGAAAGAAATTCAACATTCATTCACATCCACTTACTGTGTCATAAGAATTTTGACTAGTGTCGCTCCTTGTAAAATATTCTGACCAAATGTACAGCCAGTATTAATACTGTATATTTCATTTTGTTGTATATAAAGGAATGTAAGTCAGTTATTTGTCAGGTCCCCGATCCAATATTAGTCTTGTGTTCAGCATGCATGCAGTAACACTTCTTTGCTGATCAGGACTCTTTAGAAGTACTAGCTTGGAAATATAACAATTAATGTAATTTCTTTTCTTGTTTTGACAGCTTGAATGTCAATGCCGGTTTCTACTTTTTACATAGTACTGTGGGTAAACTCACATCCTGACAGCAATGATGATGTTTCCATTGTGTTCTTTAGTGTGTCTTTTTTATTATCATTATTTTAATCTTTGAATGTTGGTTGTACTTTGACCATCATGAAAAATATATTGATAAACCACAGAAATGACCTAGTTTGGTTTTGATTATCTTCTTTAATTTACAGTGCATCGACATTGTGTGAACAAGAACTACGATATAAATCTGCTTTATCCGGCAAAATGCCAAATAGACAATAAGAATGCTGCGTGTCCAGATTTTGCTACACCGAACAGGCCCAAAAGCCTGAAATGGACTTGACCTGAGAAATGTAAAAATCTGCTCTGTCCACAATCTTTTGTAGAAAGAACTTTAGGATGTGGCATGGTAGTGTTTGTTCATTCATGGAATAAAACATTATTTTACCACCCTGGTTGCTACTGCTGTTATTTAGCGTTATGTACTTAAACAAGCATCAAGTTGCTGGAAGTGCTGTTTCCTGGTCAAACTGAGCCCACGCTCCAGGGTGCAGATCAGAAAAATGAAAACAAGTCTTTATAAATAAATACACATCATCGTTTAGTCTGCCTGTAACCTTGGTAAATGGTCTCACCATGGTAAATGGTGATGTCTTTTGAGGAAAACATGAAGTAGCACAAAGTGGGTAAAATCCCAAAGCAGCAGTTCATGAGAAGACCCCTACCACCCTCTAGCCTTTGGTGAAAATGCACCTTTCTCCCCTTTCTGCCTGCTGACTCCCATGCTGGAATACCTGCTGACCTGGCACATGACTTTCCTAAGGGCATCAGCCAGGTATGACAGCATGACCAAAGGGATTTTTGGTATTTCATACATTGTTCCTCTTCCCAAAAGTTGCTTTTGTGTAATGAATTGGGAACAAAGCACTAAAAATTAACAAGTCTGCCATAGCATATATTTCTGCAGATGATTCTCCATCAGGAAAGGGGCAAGCAAGAGGAGGGAGTCGTCCCACTCAAATTTGGATATTTGCTTCCCTTGTGGTGGCCTCACCTTTTTGGTTTGCAGCCAAACACAGTCGTTCTCTCACTCTCCCCACCCCTCCGGGGAGCAGGGGAGAGAACTGGAAAGAAAAGGGCAAGGGGACTCACGAGTTGAGATAAAAACTATTTGCTAATTAAAATAAAGGGGGACTCACGGGTTGAGATAAAAACTATTTGCTAATTAAAATAAAATGATAATTATAATAACAGTGATAACAGAATATACAAATGAGGGATGCACACTGTAATTGCTCACCACCCACTGACTAATGCCCAGCCTGTGCCAGTCAGTGGTCCCAGAGCAGAGACCGTCCTGAAACTGAAACCTCAGAAGAGTGAGCCTGAGCGATCCCCAAGATAATACCCCCAATTTCCAGTCAACCCTGGTTATACTGACATGACGTGATATGATATGGAATATTTAATTGGCACATCCAAACACCAGTTTTGGGTTTTGCTATTCATGGCACTTGTCCCTCCCAGACCTAATGCAGCTGTGAACCAGCCAAACATGGTGGCCTTGAGCTCCAGCAGCAACTAATAACATCAGTACTTTTATCAATGTTCTTCTCATAACAAATCCCACACTGAAACCCAAACACGGTTATTCTAACTACTAGGAAGAAAATTAACTCTATCCTAGCAAAGCCAGGACACCCCTCAAGCCAAGAGGAGAACCATATACCTGCCAGGACCATGCTCAGACACTTGCCTTGAACGAATGGCAGCTTTTCCCTGTGCCTGTGTCGTTCCACCGGCTGTGGGGATAGGAGCAACCAGCCCAGACTGAAACAGCTGAGGGACAAGTTGGGGCCATCCCTGGCTGTCACCTGTAACAGGGAGACACTTTGTGAACTGCAAGATCATCTGGATGTTCCTACACCTTCTTTATACCTGGAAAGGAAATCCTTTCTTTTCATAGTTTAGCTAGGAAAATTGAGATTTTTGCTCAAAATAGAAATCCTGGCTGTGACTGTACCTTACAATAAGCTGTCCTCTTCATCTCAAGCAATAACTTTGGGAAAGCTAAAAATCTGCACAGTACTCTCTTTCTCTAGGCCTAATAAAGACATGAAAGATCTTTTAACCCTAAAAGAGTAAATCATGTAGCAAGGCTGTCATGCTAAGCAGTCACTGGAGGTACGAGGGTGACAAGGATGCTTTCCAATGGCACCATGCTGACTTGCTGCACCTCTGCAGTGGCCAGGGTGATGTCCCATCAACTGATACAAACTTTACTGAACCGAATTCACAGGAAGAGAAATGTAATATTTCATAGTAAAGCCAAGAAATTATTGTGGACACTTACTCTAATCTTTGTTGCCAGTAAGTCAGGAAACAAGAAGCTTTAGCACTGGTAACAGGGCAGGCAGATTGCACTAGTACAAAATAGCTTTGCTGTTATTTTGCTTAATTACCTAAATGTAACTAATATTTTTTTTAATTGTCCAAACAAATCAAGCTCATACTCTCAATGAATTGGCATTTCTGGATGCTGTAGTGTTCAACTGTGGCATCCCAAAGCAGAAGAGAACTAATGAGCGGTGCCCTACTAATTCAGAAGGAAACCACAGGGGGAAAAATAAGGCATTGCTGGTAGCTAATTAACAAAGCCAGGCAGCCAGCCATGTTTGTAATTGTCTATGGGTTCAGGCTTGGAGGATATAAACCCATCCAAGCTTTGCCCACAACTTCAGGCCAAATAAATGCTGCATCTCTGAAGTGTAGGAAGGAAAAAAAAATACATGAAGGAGAAAGGGTATGTGGGATACTCACAACAACTTTCCCATGGGAAGAGCATTGAAAAGTGCTGCTAGGAATGGGGAGAAATGGGTGTTTAATGGGGGAGAGTGAAGGAATGAGGCTGGTGCTGGTACTGTCACTGAGCTGTGCTGGTACCTGGAGAGTTGCTCTTGCTTTTGCTCTCGTGCTCATGTTGTCTCTCCAAAGCTCACTCAGGTTGGCAGTGGTAAGGCATTGAATGTTTTAACTTTGCATATCAGGCTGTAGGGCACATCTGCTCTGAAGTCCTTCCTGGGGCTGCTGAGAAGCTGCCAGACATGCCTCAGTGAGAGCTGGGGTGAGGACACTTTCTTTCATGCCCTGGGTAAATGCTGGCTACCCTCGGTGCTCCTTCTTCCTTGGACTTCTTATCTGCTTTCCATTTGCAACGGAAGAAGAAAAGGCAAAAATGGAAAAGGTAACAGAAAAAGCTCAAGATCTCAGTTGCCAATTCCTCAATCATTGCCCCTTACCAAGCTAGCTGTTTGCTTATTTCTATTTCACTCTCCCAACTTAGGCTCCAGGCTGGAGGCTCAGAGCAGAGCTAAGGGCACTTGCTAAGACCGGTTTCCTCTTCTTATTTCACCTTTCTGTCTTCTCGCCATTCAGTGTGGTTATGGCCTGAAAGCAAACCCAGCACCCTCTTCGAAACTAGGAAGAGACAAATATA